GTTGCTTGCTGAATGAGGCTGTGGTAGGTTCAGGGAGGCTTTTGATTAGCCTTGATCTATCCACAATAGGGAGTTATTGATGGGCCCATCCTTGGTTGCTCTTTGTATCCCTCTAGTACAGAGATTTGTCATATTTTGCTTGCTTGTCTTTGTTATCACCCCGTCAGCCTTCCCTGCTTTGAGACTTCATGTTGGACAAGAGGTACACGTTAGACGTGTTATTCTCCCATCCCCTTTGTTCCTTCCAGCCATTTGGAGGCAGGTTTACCCAAGGAAAGTGTGTTGCTGTGCCTGTAACGTGCACAGCACCTTTGCTTGGAGAGAAGACAGCGCTGTGTTTCGTAGCTTTGGCTCTAGCTGTATCCGAATTGTAACCAGATTCTCTTCCCAGCACAAACAGCTGCTCCAGTGAAGTCACAGACTTGGAGCCAGCCCAGCAGACATGCTGCAGCTACCAAGGATGTGGGTGGGAGCGAGACAGTAGCTTTGTGAGCTAGTTCAATTTCTGAGAGCCGGGCTAATGGGTCTGGGGAGACAGGCATGAGGAAAAGAGATTCTGACTTACTCAATCCTTACGCTGTCTTCCCTGTGGCAGAGTGGGAGTGTTTTCCAGGCAAGGGCAGAGTAATATGGCCAGCATCTCTTTCTTGTGTGCTGTCATGTTCTCTCCCCAGGGGTGAGTGTGTGCAGTGCAGGGGTTTGCCCTGGAATTTGAGCAGTCATGTGCGTCACTACGTCCACGTACATCCACGCGGTGGTCGAAAGGGGCATTATCACATACGTGATAATGACGTGCTCTTGGATGCTGCAGCTGTGGAGTTGAACGGAAGTTAATACAGGTAGCTGCACATCGGCAGTTTGACTGTGTACGCGTACATAACATATAAATCGTGTCTGCACAGTCCGCACACACACGGACACACGTGTTCCGGGACACTTGCTGTGCACCCCGAGCTTTGGGGTGCCGTGTTTCACCACCTGAGACCGGCCCCACGCAGTTGACGGTTGCCCTTGGTTCTGAGAGCTCTGTTCATGCCAGAGGAGCAAAGCTGTCCACCAGTATCTTTACCTCGGAGCTGTTGCTGCTCTTCCTAGACAATCTGAGCACAGATCTGAGTGCTTTCAGATGAGGATGACGCTGCAGAATTGCCCTGACCGTCCGCTGGAACTCGGTGCGAGTGGAGAGGACCAGTCCAGGGATTTTTTTGCTGCTGGAGAAGCATGCCTTCGCACTCTGTAGAGGCTGGAGTCTGTCTTTGCAAGCAGAATTTAAAACAATGGGGTAGCAGCATAGAGTCTGGGAAGGAGGAAAGCGTGCACTGACTGGAAAGAGAAGGGATCTCGCCCCATTGCCTGAGCTTTCTCCGCTGGTTTTGCCATGGCAAGATTATTTTTTTCTCGTTTCACAGCAGCCAGACTCTTCCCCTGCCCCACTCTACGCTCAGCTTGCTCCGTCTGCGTGCTTGTCTTTTGATGGCAGTCACGCTATTTGATTTGTGATGAGGAAGCAGAATGCCTTTTCCTTTGCTGCGTCCTCCCCCCAGTCCTCTGAACCCCTCAATGCGGGAGGATTGGATTTAGCCACGGACCAGCAAGCAGGAGCAATCTCTTAGGGCTCTGCAGAGGCAGCTGGCATTTGAGAAATAAGGGGCAGTAGGGAGCAATGTCTTCGGGGATCACAGCAAGCAGTGATTACGCTCGTTTGCTCTCCTGGTTTGTGACAGGAGGAAGGATAGTCACCGCGATGTTGGATGACTGCACTCTCTATCTTAGAAGCCAGCAAGGCCTGGGCGTGCTTTTCCTCTATCCACAGCCTCTTGCTTTGGCGCTGCACCCGTGTTTCCGACCTGGAGGCGCATTCAGCTGCTCGCTGTCCTGTTCATTACACCTGAAACATCTGCTCCCGACTGTGCTCAGCCACTGCGCTGCTGTCAGAGCATGGGAGCCACATTTCAAAGGCTGGGGGATGGTTTTCTCGCAGGCACGAGGTGGTTTTCTCCCCAAAGCAGGGTATGGTTTGGCACGGACCGTTAGAGAACGGAGCCGTCTGGGACATATTTGATGAAGTGAATGGTGGGACTGCATTGACTTCATTTTTACAGGATCTCAGAGCTTGTCACAGCTGAAGGTTTTTATGTAGGAACATGAATTTGGCAGTATTTACCTCAGGTAACATTTTTCCAATTTCAGAACTTGGGATTGGGGGTATCTGAACTGAAGAGCTAAGTCGGGACTGAGCCTGGATCTCACATGCTTTTGATGAAGGCCCTAGCTGCAAAGCTGCTCTCCAGCCTTCTCATCTGGTCCCTGCTGCTGTCTGGTTTTGCAGGGAAGGTGGAGATGAGGTCTCTGGGTCTCCGTGGTTCCAGCCTCAGGAGCACTGTGCTGGCCGAGCAGCTCTGCGCTTGCTGACGTGTTGGTGTGTCTGGCGTCGTTGGCTGCACTGACTGTTGCCACGGAAGGGATTTGGAACCTTTCCTTGACAGACCTCAGTGTCAAGGAGTAAAAGCATATATTGAGAGTCTGTACGTGGTCTGAGGGAGAGTGTGGGCCCGTAGGAGGTCTCTCTAGTAGCGTGGTCTGAGGGAGAGTGTGGGCCCATAGGAGGTCTCTCCAGTAGCTTGTCATTCTGTGTTCCACCATTCCACAGAAGGCTTTTTGTCCAAGAGGGAGTCCTTTCTCTGAACCCTGGCTTTCACACACCTTGGTGGTTCTCTTGAAAATGACGGCTTGCCTTTGTGCTATCTCAGCCCTCAGGCACGGAAGGAGTCGGGGCACAAGAAGACAGCTGGGCAGACTGGCATTTCGGATAACACTCAGGCTTCCAAAAGTGGATCAGGAGCTCCGCAAGCTACAGACAGCTGGAAACTGCCATGCCAGGGATGAAGTCCACTCAGCCATCAGGCTGGCTTAGTGCTTAAAGACAAAAGGGAAGTTGTGGGCCAGAGGAGCATCTGTGGGGCCTGCAGGTAGCTGGGACAGCACTCTCCATGTGCTGCTGCACCTGGCTAGCAGACTCCCGGCAGCCTTCCGGAGATGGAAGCACAAGGAAACAGGGACAAGCTTTGGCGTTGTTCGCATCAGGTGCCAAGGACTAAAATTACAGCAGCCATGTCTCTCCAAGGACCATGCCAGAGGAAAGCCCATATGTGCACCAAGCATTCAGGTTCTCAGTCTCCAGGATTAGTTTATTAAGTCAAATTTCTGATTCCAGTGTCAGCAACCATCAGCTTCAGGGGCCTCATTAAATTCTGGGGCTGCAAGAAACTTTTCAGACCAAAGACCAGAATTGTCTCTGCTGCTGACCTGAGCAGGGAGCCTAATGCGAGACGCTTCTGGAATTATTTATGTCTGTAGGAACTGGGCACCAGCTCAGTTAGGCACAGATTGATAGTTTGCAGAATTTTCTTTCTCTTCCCTCATTCCCAGCCAGTATAAAGTCCACGTTTTGCATGTGTTGATAGAATCATTTCAGCAGCTCATGGAAAAAGCTAGTCCTCTCTGGGTTCTTGTCCGTTAACCATGCTTGTAGGTACTGCTGCTACGCAATTAATTATTACTGCTGCTGGTTTCTCCTTCACTTTTATTAAATGATGTTTTCTGTTTGCAATCTGCTGAATGGTTTGTTGGCTTTGGTTTCGTTCATGCAGTTACTCCTGCTTTCCTGCCAGCACCAACTTCACTGCCCGGGGTGATGGTTTTTTGGCTGTTCAAAAAGGTGTCCATTTAATTACAGGATATCTCGGTATAAATTCCCTGCATGTGGAGTGCAGGAGTCTGTGTTCCCTGCTGCAAAGCGGTTTTCTTCCTCGCTGTCATCTTTTGTCAGGGAAGAGGTGGGTCCTAGGTCCTGGCTCTCACCCCCTATAGGTTTAGGCCTATCTGTATGTGCTGGAATGGGAGTTCTGTGGGAAACCTAAACGTGCACTTGGAAAGAAGCAGTCTGGAAGCAGTGGAATTAGTAAAGCGTTATGTCCGGTGGTGTTGGCTCTGCCAGTTGAATTCCCTGGGGTGTTACAGTGGTACAAAATCCCTGTGTGGATTCACAAACGTTTAAAAGAAATTTGAGTTCATTTTTCAGCTTTTTCCTCAGAGAATCCCTAGTATTAGGAATTCTTTTTTTTTTTTATCCATCTGCTTATTTCCATTGCACTGATATCCTTGGAATAGCTTCTCTTCTGGCAAATTTGGCTGTTAAAAGTTGGTAGTCGAGGTTACACAGGCAGGTGTGAATGCGCACAGAGGAATTTTGTATTGTTTCTGTAGCAAGCCGGGTTCCAAAGAGGACATTTATTAGGTAGGTCTTTTTACCTTCCTGGTGTTCCAGGGTGGATGGGATAAAAAGCCACCTATGTGTATAATTAACGCACGGGGCAGGTTTCAGACAACAGGAGCTCGCACTGGATTAAAACGTGCAGCCCAGAACGTGAAAGCTGTGGCACCTCTTAAACCTGTTCCTGTGCTCGGCTGTGTTCCCCGAGTATTCCTGTCCCATTACAGGGAACTACCTAACCAGACCCACTGTTCTGAAATCTGTAATGTGCCCCGTTATTTTGTGTTCAACAACTTCCTGACAAGGGAAGAGACTACTTCCAGCAACAGGCCGTTTGCATTAACAGTAACTGTAGATGGGTTGGTTAGAGGGAAGGAGTGTTGCTCAGCTCCGCTCACTCCCCTGTGCAGACACTGTCTGGAGCCACTCTGTACCTCCTCCCACTGCCTGCCTTCCCGTAGAGCTGCGACACTATGGCTCTCTCCAAGAGCCTGCAGCATTCCTAATCCATCCGCTCCGTCTGCCTCTCCCCACTGTTGACTGAGGCCTCACGCACTGAACACAAGCCTGGTTTTTAGTAATTGCCGTTCCCAGAACTCAGCAGGCTGAAGGGGGTGGAAGGGAGATAAACATCAGAGTTCAACATCCAGACAAACACAGCAAGAGCACACACAATAAATACATCCGCCCCCAAATGCAAATACAGCAGAAGAGGCTCTTTCCCCAGGGCTCTGGGCAGAGCAGGCTCGGGCAGGAGGGCAGCACCATGAGGTGAGTGCAGACGCAGGGACATCCCCAGCAACCCTGGCCACTTGGCTTTGCGCAGGCCTTGGAAGGCACGAGTGTGATTCTCCTCTCGGTTGGCTGTTGCTGCAGCCTGTGACTCCATGGATACCTCCCGACTTCTTCCACTGTCAAGTGAGATGGGTGTTAGGCAGGAAGATTTCAGCTGGGATACCTGTGATTTGGTACCCAGACTGGCAGCTCGGATGGGTGGGTTTTGGGGCATGAGCTGAGCAGACGCTCGCTCTTTCTCCGCTAACCTCTGCTCCTTTGACACAGGCGGTTCGTCTTGCTAGCTGTGCTTTACAGTGGAATAAGCTGCAGCATTGTGCTGCAGAAAATGTATGGGAGGATCGCGTCCCCCAACTTCCCAAACGTCTACCCAAATCACAAGGAGAGAATCTGGAATATTACTGTCCCCAAGGGATACTCGGTCTGCATCTACTTCACGCATTTCAACCTGGAGCTGTCCCACCTGTGTGAATATGATTACGTGAAGGTACGTGTAGGGCAGGGCAACGTGTTGCAGGCTGTGGGTCAAAGCCGCGTGTGTGGGATCCTGGACACGTGCAGGGCCAGCATAACTGTTGTAAGCACTTGCTTCTAGTCTGCTAGTAAAGTTCAGGCTCATTTCTAAACGATTTCTAAGTCATGTGTTTCTTGAGGCCCCTGGGATCAGGGAGTAGAACTGGTTGTCTTGCTGGAACATCTGTAACTTGAGTTGGTTGTGCTCAGAAAATTCTGATGTTCCTCTCCCGTGACGAAAAAGGTTTGAAACTTTGCCCAAAACAACATTTGGGCTTCATTTTGCTGAAGTTACGGTGTGTGTTGTAAATTAACAAATAGTGTTTTACACAGAGTATAATGGGAGACTGTCAAAGTGTAGGGGATATTCTAGACAAGACACAGTCAGCTTGGCTGAACGGGCACGTGCAACACTTGCTATCGTGTGTTTGCTGGCTAATGCAAGAAACAACCTCAGGAAAAGAACCAAAGCTATTGTCTTCAGGAAGTGTTTGGGTGATGGGCCGTGTACCTGAAAGGTTTGTGCTCCTCTCCTAGTGTGTGCTTTAGCCTAGGTGACCCTGTCGCTGATTTGGGGCCGTGCTACCTCTGCACCCGTCCTGTTGTTTGCACGGGCCTGATACACATCGAGGAGGAAGCTGTATATACAGGAAGTATCAGATCTGTTAGGAGATTGCATTTCCATAGTTTTATATGGCAAGTTGCTCCCATTCCCCAGATCTGTGATGTTCTTCATGTAATTTCCGTTGGGCAGGACGGAGCACTCGTTTCTGGCGGGTTTGTAGGACACAGTTCTGTCCATGTACAACACCAACCCCGTATATCAGAACCTTCTCGTGTATGAAAAACACAAAGGGAGAGCTGGAACTGTAACGAGTGAATCACAGAGCAAGTCACTAGTTTAAAGAGACCTTTTACTGTACATCTGGATGTCAGTGTGTGAAACCTCTTTACCTCACTTGTCTGTGGCTTTACCAAGACCTGATTGGCACCGGGAGCGCCAAGTTTACAAGAACGTTCTAAACAAAGCGTGGTGCTGACAGCCCAGGCTGGCACCACAGCTTTCTGTCAGCCTCTGGGAGGAAGAAGAGAAACAAAATTATGGGTTTAACTCACAGAGAATAGGGGAAATCTTCTCTTATTTGTCCCTGGGTCTGGGTTGACCTCCAGAAGGACCTTTGGAGAGCGTCCAGGCCTCCTTTCTCGCACCATTAAACACACGCTTTCCGAGCCAGGGCAGCAGGTTGGGAAGAGCCAGGCTCTGTGCCCCCCGGTAGGTTTCTGTGTCCGTTTTGCAGCTGAGCTCTGGTGGGAGGACCTTGGCTACGCTCTGCGGAAAGAATAGTACAGACACTGAGGAGGCTCCGGGCAACAAGACGTACATCTCCGTTGACAACAACCTCATGGTAGTGTTTCGGTCTGACTACTCCAATGAGAAACCGTTCACAGGCTTTGAGGCCTTTTATGCTGCTCAAGGTAAGAGACAGCCCCTTCTGTAGATGAGGCAGAGCGGTGGTGTGGTCGGTGCTTCCCTGTGAGGTGGGAGAAGGCGATCCCATCGTACAGAGGCGGATGCAAAAGGGCAGAGCAACCACAGGCACAGAAGCCACAGCCTCACAAAACACCGAGTGGCTCAGACCAAGGCCAAGTGTTGCTGGTGTTGGTTGCCTCATTCTGTGCTTCACCCATCAGATATCGATGAGTGCAAACAGCTGTTGGACGGTGAACCTCCCTGCAGTCAGCACTGTCACAACTACGTGGGGGGCTACTATTGCAGCTGTCGGATTGGCTACACACTGCACGAAAACAGGAGGACGTGCACAGGTGAGCTCTCACTGGATCAGGAGATACTTCCCTACCTACAACATCCGCTCACATCCAGTCCCGAAACTAGCAGCCAGGTGAAAGCTGTGGGGTTTTGTTGTTTGCAGTATTCCCAGTGTGCCTGGTGCAGCTGGAAGAAGGTACGGGGAGGTTAGTCAGGGCTGTGAGCAGAGGCTGTTTGCGGACTGGCTGTTGGGGACAGCAGTGTCCTGTTGCAGTAACACGGTTGGTTTGGTTACTCCTTAGGCAGCATCTGCCCCTGTTCAACTTTTGAGAGGTTGAATGGAGAAGCAGGTTAGTTGTCTTACATTGCCCACTGCAGACACTTTCAGTCTTCGTGGTGCCAGTGCAGCCAGCCTTGCAAAACTGAGCGTATCTTGCTCCCTGGGTACTGAGATACTGAGCGTTCTGGACCTGAGTTAGTAGATGTGTTGGAAAAACAACAGCCAGGTTGCAAAGCCTACTGGAGAGTAGTTTGCTTACTTTTCCTGGAGGACACAGGCCAAGAAGCAGCAAGGGCTAGGTATCACTGACACCGGGTTATGGTTGGGGTAAGCTTCTGTGTCATCAGGCAGCGAAGTGTGAGAATCAGCGCAGCGATTGGCACCTCCGGATTCACTGTGCAGTGAAATGTGTGCTTACACATGGTGTCAGGTTCATCCTTTGCGGGTGCAGCTTTGCCCGCCTCAGCTGAATCCTCTCTGGCCAGAACCAGCACATCCTGCTCACTCTAGATGGGAAGATAGGAGCTCCCCAGTGCTGCAGTGCAGAATTGGATCTAACTTCCAGTGCTTAAGACCACCGTGGCATTTAGCTTCAACTCCAGCCTATTACGAACCCTCTCCAGCTATGGCTGCCTGGCTCTGATTCAAGATCCAAACTCCTCAAATCTCCACTGGCAACAGACCTGTGCATTCACCCTCCCCTTCCTGAAGCGATGGCTTTTAGCACAAGTATACGAATTTATTTATGCTGTAAAGGGTGTGCCTGGTTTAAGGTGAAGGTGCAAACTGAGTAGCTGTGAAGTAGCAGAGCCCCCTCCCTTGAGCACAAGGCTGGTAGAGGGAGTTTATCCGCAGCTTGAAGGGCTGGGCTACCCTGATGGGTGGAGATGTGCGTTGGGAATTACCGTAGTGCAGCTGATGTGCAGGAACCTGCTCATGTTTCGGAGGCCTTCGGATGCAAGTGCTGAAGCCGCTGCAGCCGCTGGGCTGGGCTGCAAAGCCCAAGTCTGTGTGGATCGCCGTCCTGTGATGAGGGCGAAAGCTGCCCCTTTGGTTTTTGGGCTCCTGTCTGAGCAGGCTGATATTGACAGGCTCTTTTTTTTCTCCTTTATTTTCCAGCGTGAGATAATTAAGCTTCTCCTCGCTTAGGCAGAGATGGAGACAGATGTGCTGGGAAGAGCTGGTTGGCCCTCCCTCCTGACCTGCCTGTTGCAGTCTGCCTCTTGCTCTGTGACTTGCATGTCTGCTCTGTTCCTTGCCTTTGAGACCTGCCTCCTGCAGACAATAAAGAGGCTGTTCCTTGTTGAAAGCTGGTGGCAGCCTCTGGGGCATTCATTTTCTTGCATTTCCCATGTGTCACTGTGGAAGGACGGAGGTAGATAAGGCAGGAGCTGATAAGAGAGAAGGTTGTGAAAGGCCCCTGCGCGTCACAGCTGCCTGAAGACTCTTGAATTTCTTGCCCAGCTCTTGTTGTTTCATCTTCTGTAGTTCTTAAACTGCAACAAGACCAGAACCACACATTCATTCCCCGATGTTCCTGTTAGATACGCTCTTGTCTGCACCCAGACTTGTAGATTGAATCTATTTCTATTTGGAGCCTCGTTGCTCTTGCGAAAGGTGTGAGATTAATTTGTTGTGGTCCAAATGTTGTGACTCTGGCCATATCCCTGGCCTTATGGCTGAAACGTGTTCTGGTGAGCAAAGCCTCAGAGTTGCAGGGGTTTGGTGAAGTATGAACGTCACCAGGGCAGCAAGAGGAACGCTGTCCCTCTGCGCGGTTGCTTGCGGCGTTGGTTGATGCTGTCTCAGTCCCTCACTGTGCCGCTCACAGCTCCACAACATCAGTTTGCTGTCCTTTTTGACCGAACCCTCTTTGGGCAGGGACCATCTTCCTGAAAAAGGCTGGAGAAATGCCGTGCTCCGTGCGTGTCAGTGACAAGGTCCCCGGCTCTGGAGGAAATGATGATGATTACCCAGGTTACCAAGGCAGAGCTGAGCAGCTGGAGGTGGACTGCTGAAGATAAAACAACACTCTTTAAAAAGCTTGAGATGTTAAGGAGCATTAGTCAGCCAACATTTCTTTATGTCTGCAATGTCGCAGGAGTTGCTTTTAATTGTAATCTGTGAGGCTCAGTTTCTCCAACCCTGTCTCTGCTCTTTAGTGCCTGGAGTAAACAGGGGAGGAACCCAAAAGGAGAGAGAACATCACTGCCTGGGCATACTGGGAAGATGCTTAGTAAGTGCTGTGGAAGGTAGATGCTGCAGGGAGCTGACGTGGGGGTAGAGTGGCTGTGCAGGCAGTCGTCAAGGCTTACTTCCGTAGTTAATCTTGTCTGGGAGCTGTTTCATGGTCACAGTGACTCGTGATCAAAGCACCTTGAAATTTTGTCGAGGCTGGGTGATACAATTTATGACCTACCTTACATTGGAGACCTCGTGAGTGAATGACAATGGGCTTGCAAGTTTTGAGGGGGTCATTTTTCAGAGTTCAAGCCTCTGGCAAACAGCTCACTGTGATTCTAATAAAAATATGGCCTCAGCGTAATTGAGCACTCTCTGGGCAGCTCTAAAGCTGGGACTAAGAAGTCAAGGGACAGCATTTCTGCTCGCAGATGTTAAAAAACTATTTGATCCTTTTTGTGCTGGCTACTTTATGACTTTGATGCTTGCAGACTTGTGGAAAAAAATACTGCCCTGACAGAGGGAGCTCCCAGCGGCCACATCCAGGAGATATTAGGAGAAGAGTAAGGTCCTGTTAAAGCCTTTTCATCTTCAAGCTGCAAATTCCCTTGGACTGGCAAAGCGTCTTCTGTTGGGTCAGCTAGTTTTGGCTACTCATGTGGGCACAAGTCAGGAGAGTTTATTGGTGATGACTCACGTTATTCCAAACTGTATTATGAAAATCTTACATCAAAATTAGGAAATTGAGTTTAAAGGAGACAAATGTAATGAAGCACGAACAACTATTAGTCTCTAGCTTTCTCCTTCTTTTCTCCTTCAAACGAAGTTGAAGGCCGGTTTTCTGAATTACTGTGGTACTGTTCCTGTTTGTACTGCAGCGGCGTGGGGGGATCCCAGCTCTGCAGAGGCATGGTGCTGGTCTGCTGTGTCAGCACAGCGCCCTCCCTGCCCTGCAGAGCCTCTCAGCTGGCACCTGGGCAGCCCAGAGCAGCTCTGGGTATGCATTGCGGGACTGGATCAGGCTAATCACAGTGCTTTGCTTGGAAGGGACCTTAAAGCCCACCCAGTCCCACCCCCTGCCATGGGCAGGGACACCTTCCGAAGGTGCTCCTGTAAAGCCCCGTTCAACCCAGCCCTGAACACCTCCAGGCAGGGGACATCCACAACTTCTCTGGGCAACCTGTGCCAGTGCCTCACCACCCTCTCTGGGAAGAAAGAATCCCTTGAGCCCAATCTCCTGCCTTTTGTAGTGGCCAGCATCTTATGTTTCAGTGGAAAATACAATTCAGTAAGTGATTTTTAAAGAATGCTCCTGTACAGAAGTGCGGTCCTGTGCAACGGCTCCTGTGGTATCTGCGTGCTACGCAGCCTGAGCTGAACCGACGGCACTAGTATATAAAAGGTTGCCTTCTTTGCCACTTCCTATAACAGCACGCTGCAGAGATTAATTATATGGGATTTCCTAATCCTGGTTTTGTATCAGATTTGTGGTTTTCAGCCTTTAATTCATCACGCAGCCCCTTGCCCTTTAATTACTAGGGTAAGTAAACAGCCTTCGGAAACGACAGTGTTGGGTTATACGCGGTGTTTTCTGTCTCTGTGTGCATCTATGCCCCCATCCCTCTCACACACCTTTTCATGCTGACCTTCAGTCTCATAACAATCCTTCAGACACCCTTTAAGGAAGGAAGATGATGTGATTGTTGCGGTAAATAGAAGCCAAGGTGTTGCTGCCTTCCGAGGGTCTTGTAAGTGAGAATTTAACCTTACCAGCACGAGCATCCCTTCTCCACACAGTAGGCCCCGTGCCTGGGGGAAATGGTTTTGTAGGTGATAGAAAGGGATTCTGGTGCAGAACGGGCGGAAGATGTGAGATTCATAATGATTTCGGTGGGGAGTTAGGAGTGTAAAGAGAGTCCTCATTATACTGCGGCTTTTATGCTTAGGGTGAGGCTGCACGCTGAGTCCTTTTTCACACCCAAGGATTTCATATTTTCATCATCTCTTTTCTGTAATTGCCTCCAGCCTGCTCCTGTAGGGGCTGTAGAGCGGGGACAGCTATTAGCAGCGTGAGGAAATCTCAGTTTTGAAAGCAGCAGATTTTTTGCACTGCCAGGCTGCGAGCAGTCCACTGCTAAAGCTGCCCGGCAGCTGGGTTCGGGGTTGAGGGTGCCTCTTGCCCCCGGCCTGCAGCCGGCGGAAGGAAGCGTTGCGGTGGGATCCTCAAGCGTGGGCAGAGGCGGCGGACTCGGTGTCACGGCAGCACCCGCAGCAGCTCAGGAGCGCGTGTGGGAAAACACGCCTTACCCTCACAGAGCTGCTGTAGCGGAGGCACCGTCAGTGCAATGACAGAAATGTGCATTTAGCTGGGAAGAACGAGGTAATAACAATTAAGGAAAACACCCACTTGCTAATACTCCGCTACAGAGACTGCGTGAAGGGAGATTTCACTCCCGTTGTAGCTCAGCGGGTTCCTGCTGGGGCAAAGCAGCGTGCTGTGAGGCCGGGCTCCGGCAGCTGGAGCCTTCAGGTGAATTAGCAAGGTTTCTCTGCTGCTTTGGGCCATGAGAGGCGTTTCAGTCGGGTCTGAAAAACTAGGAGGGTGCTCAGGTTTAGCGCCGTAGGCATTTCTGAACTGGTTTACTCTGTGGATGTCAGCTGTGTTTGAAAACCTGGGACAGGTAGTTGGGAGCAGAGCAGAGACAGATGCTCAGTCACGGTGGTGGCAGATGGGTTTATGTCAAATCAAAGCAGCTGCTCAGGACTTTGTAGGAAGATGGACACAGGAAGATTGCTCTGAATTTATGCTTTATGCTACAAGACAGACTTAGTACTCAAGTGCATCGTTACTCGTGTGGTGTCGTAGCTGTGCTGAGAGCCACAGATGTTCTTTGCCCAGAGAAGCTGTGGATGCCCCATCCCTGGAAGTGTCCAAGGCCAGGCTGGATGAGGCTTGGAGCAACCTGGTCTAGTGGAAGGTGTCCCTGCCCATGGCAGGGGGGTTGGAACTGGATGATCTTTACGGTCCCTTCCAACCCAAACCATTCCATGAGTCTATGATATGAAACGACTTTCCTTTTCCCTGTTCCTGCTTTCCTTTCCAAGTAAACACTTGTATCCAAATACTTGCTCTAGCAGCAAGCAGGGCTGTTGCATAGGAATGGGATGGAAGCAGGTCTCATTCCCTGAAGTAAAAGGAGCTTAGAATCCTGGCTAAGGAAATCAGTGGTTAGTTAAGGGACAAAAATGTGCATTTTCTCGGTCACAATTTGGTCCACTTCCATTAAAATGACACCCTTAAACTGTATGGTCTGTTTTAGATGATAATCTGTAATTAATGGGTGGATAATAGCAGTTTTGGAGGTTGTGGTTAGCCTGGTGTGTTGGAGGGTACAATTCAAAGTCAAACAATTTCCCTCTCACAATTAATTCAGTGTCACAGCAGTGCAAATATGCCGGTGTTATCAGCCAGTCCAGCATTCCTCATCAATTAAAGGATTGCTCATCCAGCTTTTGCAGCACATCATAAAGCCTTTGTTCCCGGCGGATCAAAGCCCCACTTCACAGCCATCAGATGCTGTCAACAAGCAGAGATCCTCGGGGCACTTGTGGCTGTTCCTTCTTGCTTCTCTTCAGCAGGGAGCATTTGTGGCTGGGATTGTGTCGGGGAGAGGCACAGCTGGTTTTGCTCAGAGAACACAATTACACTCTAAATGTCTGGCAACAAAGGCATTAAAAAGAAAGAGCTGCATTCAGAGGCTTCTGGAATTGAGGAGCTGAGAGCCGTCTTACCACTCCACACTCCCGGTGCGGCAGACAAGCTGCAAATGTAACGCCTCGGAGCGGTTCCGAGGAGCTTCCAGCTATCACACTTATTTCTGACCTGTGGCTGGTGCTAAGTGGCGCTTTCCCGGAGTCCTTCCCTGCGTCGCTTCTGGGGTAGGAGCGCCGGGTACTGCTCATGCCCTGGGCCTACCGCGGCAGGGAGGGCGGGCGATTTCCGCAGCAGTGACAACTGCCTGCTGGCCAGAGGTGTGGGACGCTTCTTTCACGGGCAGAGAGGGCTTCTGAAACTGTCTTGGGACAGACTGTGTAGAAGGTGATCCCCTACTCTTCCCCAGTAGGGCT